GGATGCTCCATCCTCAAGACCTAGCAATAGTCCATCTGATGGGCCTTCCATGTCTCCATCAAATATACCATCCATGCTTCCTAGCCTCAGTTCGGATGCTCCATCCTCAAGACCTAGCAATAGTCCATCTGATATGCCTTCCATGACTCCATCGAATGGGCCATCCGAGGTCCCCAGCATCAGCCCTTCTGATATACCATCCTCAAGACCAAGCATTGCTCCATCTGATCCTACTGGATTCACAACAAGAGCAGATCTTGTATATGCAATTGGTACCAGTAGTAATTGCAATGGCGACTTCTCTCCGACTGGACCCCATGGTAAGTGTGGGGCATGCCTGCATGATGTCTCCCATGCACTTGTTTTCTCACTTTTTCCCTGTGATGATCCAGGTGCAATATCAACTTGTGAGTTCAACATCAGAACAATATTTTCTTCAAATTTTCAAGAACTAACTTGTGTCACCAAATTAATCTTCTACAGGGGATATAAGCAAGGTCACTGACATATCTGGGGTAAGTTCCTCCCTGTTAGTTGAGCAGCATGTACCGGCCTACATGGCATTCAGCAACTCACAACTCTATAACAATCTTAGATCTTTCAAAGCTGTACATCTTTCAATGAAGATCTCACTTCCTGGGACACCAGCAGTGTCACAACGATGGATTCCATGTTTTTTGGTGCCACAGCCTTTAACGGTGACGTCTCTTCTTGGACAACCAGCAAAGTCACATCTATGCATACTTTGTTCTATGCAGCATCTGCCTTCAACAGGCCCCTCACCAGCTGGACAACAAGTTCTGTCACATCGATGGCTTACATGTTTGCTCATGCATCTTTGTTCAACCAGGATCTCAGCCATTTTGACACAAGTTCTGTATTGAATTTCCTCCACTTGTTTTATGAAGCAACTGCCTTCAACATGCCACTCAACGACTGGGACACCAGCAGTGTCACAACGATGGATTCCATGTTTTTTCGTGCCACAGCCTTTAACGGTGACGTCTCTTCTTGGACAACCAGCAAAGTCACATCTATGCATGCTATGTTCTATGCAGCATCTGCCTTCAACAGGCCCCTCACCAGCTGGACAACAAGTTCTGTAACATCAATGGCTTCCATGTTTGATTATGCATCTTTGTTCAGTCAAGACATCTCTGGCTGGGTAAGTGTATACAAGAGACAGAATTGATTTGGGGAATCAAGTGGATGTCCATCCCTCTAACTCCCTCTGGCTTTTGCTCACTTTGCCACCATGATAGAATGTTGCTGCTTGCACCACCTTTTTAAACATGTTTCAGAATACACAATTCAACCAGAACATGTGTGATTGGGGGAATGGTGCCACACCCATTTCCTCCAGTAGCCACACTGTGACCAACATGTTTGCAAGTACCAGCTGTACATTGCAAAGTGATCCAAATTTGGCTTCATCTCCAAAAGGCCCCTTCTGCCATTCATGTTAGCTATATTTCATGCATGTTGCTTTCCAGGATGCGCAACAGGCTATTTTTTGGATATTGTTGCCTCAAGCAATACTATATCAGCACCGGTCAACAAGTTGCACCTACTACCTGTGGTTACTATACCTCCATTGATGGTTGTTACAATGCATGTGTATCCCAATTTGGCTCGGCAGGATGTACCTTGATTGACTGGTGCGATGGCCCAAAGTCAAAAGCGCCTTCTCACTGCACTTACTGTCTCAGATCACTAGACGTGTCTGTTGCAAGTTTCACCTATCACTCAGATATGCTTGACGTAGCATTTCCATTTTATTCTTGCCAAGAACTATAATCTCAAGTTTTCAGGTTTGGAGGAATTCACCACTGATTTTACTCTAGCAATTTCAGTACTCTTATGGATCTCAGTGGAGAAGCTGGAACAGAGTACAAGTAACCATAGCTGGTTTATTTACCTTCTGCACCCGGCCCGTCCTGTACACAACAACTAAACACGACCGCTATTATTACAACCGCTGTTGTTGCTGGCCGCAAGAGTTTGTCCCTTCTAGTAATGAGTGGTGTCACTCGTGACAAAGGCATGTGGGCACTTGTTGCTATCAAATAGTGCAGTTTGTGTTTGGTTGTTGATACTTGGCAACCACTCCAACAATACTTTAACCATTGTTAAGCCAGCGGAGCTGTGTAACCTCGGCAGAAAGAGAAGCAGATACCCCTATTAACTAGATAGCTAGAAGCAGATACCTGTAGTGCTTAGCTAGTGCTTAACTTGCGCTTAAATAGCTAGAAGCAGATCCCCTAGCTAGAAGCAGATTCCTATAGCAAGCTAAACGCAGATACCCCAAACTAGGTAGAATACTAGTTATATAGCTTTTGCTAGCTTTAGAGTTTTTCCTGGTAGAAGCAGATCCCCCTACTAGGAAGCATGTAAATAGCTTTAGCTGGTTTAAAAGCACCATCCTAGGATACTTATTTAGTTTTTGCTGACTTATTTGTATTCTAACCCTACTCTTATACCTGCAGGGACCACCGTAGCAGGAAAAACAATTAAAGGGGTTGAGGGCTCAGGCAGCAAGACTGCCGAGGTTAAGTTACTTAGTTGAAGATTGTCACATGTTTCCAGAAGATACCGGCTCTGAGTCGAGCAGCAGCACGCCTGGGGAACCCCCCATCCGAGTTCCCACGCCCCATGGTGTGGGAACGCTAACCTTCATGTCCTACTACAATACCAGACTTAGACCTCACTGTAAGCTCTAAGAGTCCTTTCTGCTACCCCTACAGCATACCAAGTAATGAACCATCTTACAGTCCAAGCATGTTACCAAACAAAAAAACTTTATAGCGGATATGGCCCGAATGGAAGGATCATCACTGTGCTGCAGCCGAAGCTTTGGGTAACCGCTCCCGGCCGAAGCGGGGATTGGTTTCACAGGAGATCACTACTGGTGCCCTCACCGACACCACACTCCCTAGGGGAGATGATGCATTTAAAGTTACATGTAAGTATAAATGGCATATCTCGTGTGCATTTGCCGGACATATATTCCTAACTGATTTGTGGGTTTGGCCAAATGGATTCAGGGAGAGTTACTGGGTGGGTTGGGTGGAGGGAGAAAAGTAGGGACGGAAGCGGACGCAGGAGGGAACTGGAAGGATGAGAGGTGGAGATCTCGCGTCAATTACTCAGTCTCAAGCCGTGTGGTGTAACTCTCTTCAAGGACTGGTTCCTGATAAATGTGGTTTATATACCACAAGAATTGCCTCCTTTCTCACCGAATAGATAAGATCTTTCATGATTTCACAGGATTAACAGTACCACGCTTTGCCCATTTTCGTTGCTTACCTCATCTCCTCACAGTAGACCAGATCCTGTGCGGGGCTAAGCAGTGGGTAGTTTCGTAGTTCTAGTCACGATCCCCTGGGAGTTAGGGTTTGTACGCTTGTAGTTCGATTCTTGATGGTGTTCCTGTTAGATTCACTAAGCTCTCTAGTTTACCATTGCTATTGAGATACTACTGAAAAAGTGGGTGGGCTCTGTTTTTCTACAGGTGTGAAATTCTAGTACAGAGATACAGGTTCAATTCCTAATCGCGAATCCCCAACACACTCCTGTGGTCATCGAGCTTGTCCTAGTCGTCGACCATCCTTACTTACTTACGCTTCTTAGCGCTCCTTCTTTGAACGGACCTTCTTGTCCGGCCGTGACCCTCCTACTGAGTGCCCTGGCTCTGAGTGTTCCACTACACCCATCAACTTGTCCACATTCTGTTTGAAGAGTCGACCTTGGTTCGGCTTCGTCCAGAAGTCCGCAACCATATCATCAGTTGGACACCAGTCCACACTGATCTCCTTCTTTGCGACTCTGTCGCTCACAAAGAAGTACCTAATGTTGATGTGCTTCGTTCGTTTACTACTAGAAGCTTTGCCATTCTTCTCTAGAAGTATGGCACTCTTGTTGTCCTGATAGACTAATGGTGTCACCGGCCGCATTGCAACCATCCGAGAGAAAGAACACATTGAGGTACATGCGGCGGTAATTAATGCGACGGATTTTACATGGCTGAAAAGAAGCTTTGCCTGTGTTCTTTCCGCTGGTATGGGTAGCTTGTACCACTACTGACATGATTGCTTTGTCATTGGTTCTTTGTGCCTTAGGAACATAGGAGTTCTCAAGTTCGAGGTTCCCGTCAATAGATCTCAAAAAAACTTGAAGGGATTGAAGCCACTTGGATTCGAGGTGATGGGTCAGTGGAGTGTGGGGGGTTCCCAGAACAGACCAACTCACACCTGCACAGAACTGCAACCATGCCACGGTGATGTGAAGGAGTTTTCCCTGAGGACTTTTTGGGGAGCTCCAGTTTTTGATGAATTGGCGGCGGGTAGGGTGTGGTTCCATCGTGATCCGGTACTTTCGACAAGTCGAGTGTTCTCCTCGCACTTTGGTCGGTTCATGCATCGTCCATCGTCGGCTGTTGGAGACGATAAAATCAAAGACTCCATGGCGTTGATCAACCGTATGGGATCCATCGTGTTCGACTTGAACAGGTCCACCACTTCTTTCCACCACAAATCAAAACTCGTCGGTATGCCCCTTGCGTTCAAGGACAGTCGATCTTTCGCAACGAAAGATATTGCCTTCAAAATCAGTCGCCGTGTGCTTGGGATGAAGAGTGTTGTCATCGCCAGGGGAATGCAGAATGCGAACAGTGATTTTGAAAATCAGCTCTTAATCAGCTCTTACTCCCACGACCGGCTCTTAATCAGCTCTTAAAATAGGAGCTGGTTTGAAACCAGCTCCTATTTTTCAAAAACCAGCTCCTAAATTTTGAAATCAGCTCCTATTTTTCAAAAACCAGCTCCTAAAACTACTAGTAAATTACTAGTGATCAGCTCCTAAAGATTTGAAATCAGCTCCTAAATTTTGAAACAAGCTCTTAAAATTTCAAAATCAGCTCCTATTTCAAAAAGCTCTAAACCAGCTTCTAAATTTAGGAGCTGATTTCAAAATGAGCTCCTAATCAGCTCCTAATTCTGCGAATCAGCTCTTAATTGCTCCAATCAGCTCCTAATTAATGGTTGTCGGAAACAAGATTCAAACAGTCATTCTGGATTCCCCAGATGATTCGAGAGCATTTTGAACCGGCACCACTCTGTACATTGTAAAGAATCCATTCCAATGCCGTCCGACGCCGACATTCAATCCAGACCAATTCCAAGGTTCGTTGCCGCCGTTCCAAGAGAGTTCATCAGTCATGGTGGTGGATAATGGAAGCAAAGAGGAGAGGAAAAGATGTATCGAAACAAGGTTGAGTGAGGAATGAGGAATATTCAAGCTAAGATATCGCGATCGATGCACATGCAAGGCAACAGTTGAGTTGGATCCTGTATTCGTACCATACTTTACATACCCATACTTTACGTTCCGCAAACACTCTCCAATTGTTGATCGATACATTACCCTTGAAGGAAACGTCTTCCAAGGTTGAATCCCGTTCCTCGAACACTCTCCCATAGTTGATCAATACATTACAAGACCAATCGCACGTGGTTGAGTGAAAATACAACAAAATCTTTATAACGGATATGGCCCCAATGGACGGATCATCACTGTGCTGCAGCCGAAGCTTTGGGTAACCGCTCCCGCCCGAAGCGGGGATTGGTTTCACAGGAGACCACCACTGGTTCCCTCACCGGCACCACACTCCCTAGGGGAGATGGTGCATTTAAAGTTACATGTAAGTATAAATGGCATATCTCGTGTGGATTTGCCGGACATATATTCCTAACTGATTTGTGGGTTTGGCCGAATGGATTCAGGGAGAGTTACTTGGTGGGTTGGATGGAGGGAGAAAAGGAGGGGCGGAAGCGGACGCAGGAGGGAATTGGAAAGATGGGAAGTGGAGGTCCCGCATCAATTACCCAGTCTCAAGCTGTTGCAATACACGGCTCTTAGCCTTATTCGCGACTCGATCCTAGATAGGGTTTGAGTTCGACTCATGACGTAGTCCTTCGCGAATAGTCATTGGAGACAGGGTTCTCAATGACCGCGTCTAGTCATACTAGGTTGATGATGAAACATCGCTCTAGATATTTAGCCAGCGTGGAGTACTTCCACGCTACTAGAGAAATGCTAGCGAATCTTCACGCGTTCCGTTTTTGGATCGTGGAGTGAGTAGGATTGCTACCGCAACCTACTCTATCACACTCTACAGTCTCCGGCGGGAGTTCAGATCTACGATTCCTTTGATTGTGATCTCTCTCGTTGATTAGTTTTCATAGCTTTCTAATCCTCTCATAACTTTCATTCTCTCAAACTCAAAACACTCGAAAGATCTTTACACTAGCTTTTAGCGTAGTCATTTTGTTAACAAACACAAAAGCTTTCAGCTACCCTCAACCTATTCCTCACCATGAAGATTGCCAAAGACGCTTACACAGCTTCGAGTCTAAGCTGCGCGACAAACCAATCCTTCCTCTCATCGACCTCGACGATGAATGCGAAA